AACTTGGTACATAAATGCTCTAGGACAATAAACAGTCTGATTAATTTTGGGTTAAAATCTGTTCATATTAATTCTCTAATTAGCATAATTAGTTTAATATTTAATTAATTAATTTAAATATTAATTAATATTTTTTTGGTTCTAATCACATTTCAATGAAACTTGGTACATTGTGCAGGGGTTATTAGTTTTACACTTAAATCTGTTCATATTAGTTAGCTTATTTGCATAATTAGTTTTCAGCTATTCCATCAATATCTCAAGTATAAGTAATTTTGAATTAATTTTTAATGTGTCTCCAAAACTCTCAGCACACGGGAGTTCTTTCTAAGCTTTCTTTGATTAAAAGGTAAAATAGGTCTTGAAAGAAGAGTCTTTACATGATTCACGATGATAACAGTTCAAATGAATTTTACCGAATCATGTAATAAACACGTTCGTTCTTGAGTAGCGTTAACTAATCGTGAACTCCGCTTTGAAGTGGGATTGATTTTGAAAGAATTTTAGTTCTCAATCTAAAGACTCTGTCTATCGCAAAGAGTATTTACTTACAAACAAAGAGATGCTAATTTCACAAAATTGACAAGCCGCTACGTATCGTGTGACTAGGTCTATTGTTTACAAATTATAATCCATGACTGGCAGGATGCGTGTCGGTCGGTACATAAATTATAATAACAATTGGACAATAGTCCTGGTCGGAAGCATTTCCGTGGTGGTCGCTAATTTTGAGTACTGGCCCGGGCCGACCAGCGTGGCGAGATCCCTGGTTGGGGAGTCCAATGTGCAACGCCTGTAAAATTCTTACCAATAAAATGTTATTTTTGTTTCTTCAATCCCAACACTTTTCCTCAATGGGTGAGATAGTTTTTAAATCATAGGTCCAGGAAGAAAAATCGGAGGTGGATGATATTTTGGGGAACTAGAAGAAACACTGTGATCACTCATAATTTTAGCCGCCAATAAATTACTAAAATCCACCAAATAACTACCTGCCACATATTTTTTTTTTTTTTTAAATTTTTTGTGCCAGGCGACAGTTCCGGACATTGAATGTCACTGTTGTCTCTCCTGACTTTTTTTTGTATGTGCAAATTGCAAGTGCTGGTGCTGACACATAGTGCATCTTTGCCACAGAAGTCATATTCATGTTTTGGACTACATGACAGGGATGTGCGGCCATCTTCCTATCCTGGCGTCAACCAGGTTCGGTCGAACACAAGCACCTGCGGACCATCCCCCAAAGACGCATTCGTTAGTGAATGAATCCCGGCCAGTGGAGTTGGCCTTCCCATTGAGTCTGTGGCACACTCGCCCAGGGTAGGGGTCGACCTTTTTGATGTTCAGCCTGAGGTAGGATTTGAACTTGGGTCTACCGATCATGAGTCTGATGTGACATCCACTATGTTACCAGTGACCACGTATTTGATTTAGTCGATGCTTGGATTTGATTGGAGGTGGTGACTTTTATGGTATCTTGCAAATTATGACTTGCATCTATTTTTATGTACATGTAGGTAGTGGTTGCATAAGTTCTTCAGGCATGGAAAGCAACAAGTCTACAAAGTATCAACTCCGGTCAAGGTCGGGCAAATCCAAAGAGACGTGTAATTCATGTAATTGCTGCTCAGAGTCTTCAAAGCACCCAAGATCATTGGCATTGTATGTCAAAGCCAGAGAGAAACGTAAAGTGAAATTCAGTGCCAAGGATTTTGGCAAAGGTTTTGATGATACTGACCAACCACTGGAAGAAGCAGCTGTGACTGAAGACATTATCATTGGAACACCCAGGTATGCTACATGGAGGAAACTATGCTTTCCAAGTTTTTCCAAATTATCTTTTTATGTGTACATATTTTTCTAACTTTTTTTAAATTTACTGCTATCTATCAGAGAGAAGCGTAAACTGAAATTCAGTGCCAAGGATTTTGGCAAAGTTTTTGATGATACTGACCAACCACTGGAAGAAGCAGCTATGACTGAAGACATTATCATTGGAACACCCAGGTATGCTACATGGAGGAAACCATGTTTTCTAAATTTTTATCAAATTTACTACTATCTATCAAAAATCATAGGTCCAATTAAGTCGCACATCTGAAGTCGCCCATTGAAAAAATGAATTTTAATTAAAGCCACGGTGTCAATTAGAAATTTTACGGTACCAGTGCTGCTTATCAAAGTGCAGTACATTGTTTTGTAAGGGCTTGAAATTCATGTAGGCAATTGCCTCAATGCCCCACCTGAATGCAATGTGATTCCCTTCAATACTTTCATTACAATTTTAATCAGTCCAAGGTGTTTTTAAAAATTTGGATCTTGAAATTCGTGCCTAGTTTATTATTTACTATAAAACTAGTTCTTTCCAGTTCCGACAGTATGTCTTTCTATCTTGCAATTCTAACGTGCAATCTTGCCATGATACATATGTGTTACCGGTAATTTCTTTTTTCTCATAACCACGTACACATGTACTTGGGCTGTTTTCCATTCATGGCCCATGAACCAAATTCTCAATTTATGCTATTTGTTATTGGATTTTGTCCTGATGGAACAATTATTTTTGCATCATCACAACTTATTTTGGAAGTTTGGCAATATTTGCAAGAATATTTTGATACCTATTGCACCTATTCAATACCGTATAAAAGATAACACAGCTTAAAATAATGAGAATTCATTCTATTCCAGCCCGGTTATAAGATCTAAAACTTCCAAGAAAAGAAAAATAATTTCGTTTCCATATTCAAGAACTGTTGTTGGTGATAATGAAGCCTCTGCCTCAATCATAACATCTCAGAAATCAAAACGTAAACCAAATGTTGATGCTGATATCACTATTGTATCTGAGAGTCCAACTGGTCAAGACCCTGCATCTTTCTTTAGCAGTGTATCCGAGAATGGTGATGTGGAGGTTGATTTTTCGGATGACTCGGATGACCATAGTTTTGTGTTCGGTATGTCGACAGTGAAATCACTAGGCAAACATCCAACAAAGAAGGCTAATTTTAAGAATCATGGGCACACTAAAGAAGACGTTGGAATTATTCCTGTGCCTGCTAGGAGGAAAAAAAAAATATCTCCTTCATCAAGCTTCTCGACCGCCGGCAAACCATTGCAAGGTAGACTGACTTTAAAACCACCTCAACCAGGTTGGAGTTTTTTCAATGGTCGCGCTGCTTCAAGGGCCTCAAGGTTGAACAAAAGCAGAGATGAATGTGATGGGCCTGCCGGTGAACAAACTACAACCAGAAGATCTACATTGCAATTCAGCCCAGATTTGTCGTTTGACCGGTTTCGTCAAGCACTTCTTCCACGTTTAGCAACCAGCACTGTTGCAAGTGCAAGTCTATCAAACTCGATGAATATGGAAATAAGTCATCAAAACCGGTCAAGTGCCTCTACAGCAGCAATATCACCTTCAAATACATCGTTAGGTGACATTTCTATTTCACCTCCAAATACATCGTTAGGTGACATTTCTATTTCACCTCCAAATAGATCTTTAGATGAGATTTCTATTTCACCTCCAAATAGATCTTTAGATAACATGTCTATTCCGCCTCTGACTAGATCACGTAGAAGAGTATTTCCTTTCTACTCAAGTACACCTGCTGCTTCAGCACATGCAATAAATCCTGTTGAACTTGAAGGAGTTGTTAGACACTCTTCCCCACCAAATATGGATACTGATGAAGAAGTAATCTGTCTTGACCTAACTGATACAAATATGTCGGCATTATTCTCTTCCCCGTCTGTCACAGAAGTATCGCCTTCACCAACAAACCCTCGGCAGAGAGTACCTATAAATCCTGTCCTGTTTAACTTACCCCAGTCTGAAAGCCCCCAGGTTTTGCAAACTTCTACAGTATCGCCTGCTACCATGAGAAATATTGAAAGAATTGACCAGATTTCAGCGGATGAAGCACTGGCCAGAGAACTGCAGGTAATAACAACCCTTTCCTTTTGTACAGTTGTCAGTTATTAGTTGGATTTCAGTGTTGTTTTTCATTAGTAAAGTTAATGATATGAGCATGTTTCCTTATTGGTAATATTGAGGAGTGAAGCCCGAAAGCTTTTTTTTTTTCTTCTACTTTCTCCTGTAACTGTTTTTTTCATCAAGTCGTTGAGAAAACCGCTGAGTAGATTGGTCTGAATGTACTGATAGTCCGTAATGTGAACTGGTGCATTAGACTTTCAGAGTTTTAATTGGTCAATTGGTTCGGCAGCCATATTGGATTAAAATTAAACCAGAAGTGGTTGTTTGATCACTTTCTGAGGGTCTTGGCAATCAGATTTGTATGGCATATAGTACAACTCGTCTGTAATAAATATCAGTAATAAAAACTTAAGTGGTCACGGGACCTTTTTTCTACAAAAAATGCTTGAAAATCTTCCTCTGCAGAAGCAACAAGTAAAATGATATGGTACATGTATGACCAAAAGTTTGGGCATTTGTTTCTCTTTAATACTTCAACAAATCAGCTGAATATTTTGTATTTTACATTTATGGCCATAGCTTGTTGTGTTAAAAATATTATAGTTTTAATCAGTCACATGGTTTGGTCACCAACTCTGATAAAGATAACCAAAAGTTTGGGTATTTGTTTCTCAAATGTGCTTCAACCTATCTATTTGATATTGTTTTTATAACATGTCTGGCCATAGCTTCATATGAGTAAAAATCACCAAAAGTTTGGGTATTTGTTTGTCATGAGTGCTTCAACTGATCAACTTAATATTTTGGACATCAACTTGATATTTCGGTAGGTCATGTGGTATCTGAAACACTGAAATAGATGCCCCTCCAAAGAGTTATTGAGAAGTGAATTTCTCTAAGGTCACTCGTATTCAGCTTGGTAGTCTTAAATAGTGTTCATTGCTACAAAATATCCTCCTTACTCACAAAAACATCTCTAGCGAAATTAAACCAGCCTTAGTGTCGCTGCTAAATGTTATCGCATACAAATTGTTGTGAAATTTGCATCTTTTATTTGTTTGGATGCATGCGCATCTCACTTTATTTCCAATGATAGTGCCATATCTGAAATCAAGATTTTTTTTTTTTTTACAGGAACAGTTCAACCAACAGATTCCATCAGAAAGTCCTGGGATGGCCGCAGCGGCCACTGCTACTACACCTGCTAGCTCTACTGTGCCTTTACCGAATGACTATGTAGAAGATGAGATATCAGCTGCAGCATGGCCAGTGGGTAGCCCACAAAACATGCGCATGCGATCTGAAAATAGGCGACAGCGTGTACGAAATCTAGTAGCGCAGTCACAGCAGATTTTAACTCAAATGAACGAGCGAATTGGTCAAATGAACAACTCTCTACAGTTTATTGAACAAAACTCGGTAAGTATTTGCTTTTTCGTATTGTTGATAAACTTCAACACTTTCTTCAAAATACTGCCAAATGAGTACAATGGTCCTGTCTTATATCAATGATTGATGTACATAATTTTGGTCATGTGATTAATTTTTCTGGTCATACATTTTTTCCTATAAATCCTCATGTCTCTTTGTCTTTATGCTAATTGTATACCTACATTTTACTTCATGTACATATTTTATAAAACTGGCATTGTCTTAGCTATTGTAACATGTAGCACTGCTTTTGTAAATCACACCATGAATAGATCATTAGTCAAGGTGTAAGTTCTGGAGTTGGCAAGAAGATATAAAGACCACCAGTCTATGAAGACCATTTCAATAAAGTCCTTTGGCTGGTCTCTATACACAATTTACACTAAAAACTAAAAAAAGATTGTCATTGACAGTGACTTGTTCCTATGTTGTGCCTACAAGTTTTTGTCCAGTAGAAATCAGCCAGTCATTGGTCACTTCGTTAAAACATTTTTGTAAATTCGTATTGTCCATGTTTGAATTGGTCAATGTTTGTGTTTGTGCAGACCAGAAGAAGAGTTTTAAGCCCTCCAGGCAGGGGAAGGAGGAGATCTAGATCACGGCAACCGTCTACGGAACTGAGAAGTGAGCTAGAAAATCTGGATAGACAGTTACAAACATTAATACAATCAAGACAACAGAGGCCGGTCAGTACTCGCATATTATTTATACATCTAGCACCAAAAACAATAAAATTTATCTTTTTGTTTGTAAGAAACTGCATGTGTATTCATTCAAAACGTATCTGCACTCTTACAACATTTAAAATTTTCTTTAATTTGTGTAAACTATGTCACTAACATTGAACGTGTTGCGCATCCGTCGATATCACTGTACTGCCTTTGTGAATACTTTGCAGTGTTCTTGTGATAACTATGTCGCATCGTTGTATTATACAATGTTATCTTTTCAGAAGGTCTTCCATTCCCTTAACAGTCTGTAGTTGTTACTCATGTGTACTGTGCTGATTGATGACTAATTGTAATTTTTTTTGTGATATTTCCTTTTCACTATGTTTCTAAACTATTTATATCTTCTGTCAGTCTGTTGTGTTGAGAAGTCAAAGTAGAGGACGTGGTGGTAGAACTCGGATTAGATTTCAACACACATTTGATGATTTATTTGGGGCCAGTAATTATGAGGTATGTGCATGGAAAGAATCACATGACTCTGTTGTTTGTCAATTTACTGTTTATTACTTGTAACAATAAAATAAAGGTAAGTCTATTTGAATCAAGACTAAAGAGCATAACTAACACATCTGTATTACTCATAAAATCCTGTAAAAGCATTTTCAGCGTTTACCATGATGACGAGTCGTGAATACCTAATGTAATGCACTCAGTTCTCAGTTAAATATAAATGAGTGCAAGACGTTTTCGCTGTTTCCTGTAATGCATTATGGAAAGGGAAATAAATACACACTAGCATCATAATTGGGAAATATAATTCATGCTAATTCGGCTGAAACATGTGGAGTTTTTTCTTTCTTGCTTTCCATGTCAATTTCAGCAAGTTACAAACGTTTTGTATTGTATAACATGAAATGTATTGACCCCGAAAAAGTTTGAAAGTTGCATACTTGAATCTGAATCAGACTACTATATTTGAAAGTTGTGTGTTATTGACGTGACTTACAAAAGTGCTATTACATGATGTACCAGTTATAATTGGAGACATTGGCACACAGGGTCATATTTTAGATAAGGTCATGGTAATCATGATTGATGTAATTATTCAGTGCTAATTGTACCGTTTTCTGAATGTTTATTTCACTGTATCATCTGATACTGTAAAGGGGGTAATTATTCACTGGGTTTTAATTTAGCTTATTTCGCTGACTGGAAAAATGCGCTAAATTAAAACACAGTGAATATGTAAAATTTAGCATAGGACACATTATCTAAATGACGAAACCGTGAATTTAAAACCCACTGAATATGCCTGAAATGGTAAATCAGTGAAATTTAAACACAGTGAAAATTAGTCATTTTACAGTAGTATGAATAACCTTATTCTATTTCAGGAGCTGCTGTTGTTAGAAGAACAAATGGGACCAGCTGTCGCTCGTGGTCTGTCAAAAACGCAGTTGCATCAGCTTCCAACTTTTGCATTCACTCATGACAATACCAAAGAAGACAATACATGCAACATCTGTTTTGTGGACTACCAGGAATCAGAAATGTTGAGAAGGTTACCTTGCTTCCACAGATATCACACTGAATGTATAGACCCCTGGCTTAAGGTAAGCTGTGTTTTTTCATAGCGAGTTTGGAGAACGTCTTGTGTAGATGCCTGTTTCTTGTGACTGGATATTTTGTGTTATTTGCTCAATATTATGGTCAGATGTGATTTCAAGCGTCTCATTATGCGGAGAACAATAGGTGATGTTGTGACATTTATTGTACGTCAGTAAGAATGTTACACACCTTTAAAGTTAATGGCAAATACTGATCTTTCTAACATGGTTTTGAAACATTTCAATCAATTAGACAGTACGATTCACATCTTTATTCGTTGAATTAAAGTTCGGTTGTATGTAACAGCTACGGTATTTGGTTTGGAAGCTTCTTCATTTCATACTTCCTAGGTTACCTAGTTGTGTTTTGCATGTACATAAAGCAGAATTTGAAACAACAACGCCACATGTGGGGACTTATTGTAGTTAAAACAAATAAACAACGTAATGTCAGCTTTCAGTCAGTTACCAGTACAACTCACAAACACTTACTCTCAGATTTGGTTTTTAGCCTAGTTACTCAAAATTGCTTAAAAACTTTAAAAAGTTTTGCTGATAATACAAATTCAATATAGATTCAGGATAGTTGTGTCATTGTAAAGATTATGCATTTGATAATGTAGTGTGCCAGTTAAAAAATGATTCATGCATAATGTTGATTTCTTTTTCACTTCTTGTTCCTTTCAGCAAAACCGGACATGTCCAATTTGTCGCGTTGAAGTGAAGGTATAAAACGTCATCTGAGCAAAGGTTCATCGGGTGCTTTTACTTTTCACAGAATACAATTTTGTATCTTGTTTTCTTTTACAATTTCTTGTTCTCTTGTTGCCATGTTTGAACATATTGGGGGGAAAAAAAGGCCTTTCTTCTCCAAGTTTGAACTGCCATTATTGTAACTTATTTATGCATACTTTACTGTATATGGACTAAAGATTTGAATCTGAAATATTGGAACATGTGTTTAACTGCCATTGATGAATTAAGTTTGCATGCATTCTGCATTTCATATCCATGGTATTGTTTTTGCATGTGACTTTTTTTTCGTAGATTCACATTTTCCCCACAGCAATGTGAACCTAACCTACTTTGACATCTGTATGATTAGTGAGGTAATTGTTAAAGATGAACAGTGTAAATTTCAGATTTTTCTAATTGCATTCTCACCTGTGTTAAGTGACAAAGAGATGTCTTGTGACAATGATAGATTTGATGTTAAAAGTCGTATGTATCAAGGGCTTTGGTTTTTGTGACGCATCATATTTCACATGGTGCCCTTGTGATGTTTAAAATTTAATTTAATTTGTTTAACAAAATTTTAATGTTACTGCACCACTTCAGTATTTACTACTTTCTAGCACTGCCACATTTACACAGGTGCACATTATAAGGTTGCTGCAAGTAACAAACTTACTCATTATTTTCAAATTTTTGCTTGCCTTTATTTTGTTTTGTTTGAGTATGGTAATGATTTTTTGAAATTTTCACTGTTTAAAGCATATAATAAATACCATGTCCTGTCTGGCCTCGTCAACATACAAATTTACTAACTAGCAAGTCACTAGATTGGTAAAAAAGGGAGGCAATAATGCTTCGCCAAAATTCTCATTTTGTTGATTTTCATATGTTACATTATTGTTGTTGTTTATAACTGAACATTTCTGAATAATTTTAGCTGTGTTAATGGTTCGTTTATATTCAAGTTCAGCAGTTTAAATGGACTGAAATAATCTTTCTTCTGAATAAAGCAGTTGTGTGATTCTGTGAACTTGAGAGAGGTGCCTCCCACTCTTGACACCTGGCACTTTGGACACTGATGTATGCGATGCTTCATTTAGATTATTTTTCTTTCTTTTTTATGATTTATTGATCTATGTACGGTACATGCAAGCATGTGTTTGAGTTTTGTGAATGTCAACGGGGAGAGTGTGGGGAAAAAGCACAGAAACAATAATGCTAACTCGCTGTTTAACCATCTTTCCTCTTTCTGCTATTGACGTATTTTTCAAATAACTTGCCAAGATCTGAAAGATGCATATGTAAACTAAAACATTGCACCTTAAACCCTGATTGCAGTACAGTCATCGAAGCAATGTTCTAACCCTTCACGTAGTTCAGTTGGTTTGTTACAGAGGAATTATTTAGAGAAAAAGGCTACTCTTTCAAATGGAAGCCTGCTCGTAATTATTTTTGTTTTCATTTTTTAAAGCCAACATTTTTGCAATACTCCAGATGAACAAAATTGGCTTGCAGCATGTACATCACCATATCGGAAAATAGTTAAGTTTGGTGACCAGCATGCCCTCTAAGCCAATATGACCTGTCAATGATGCTTTGTGTCATGGACTTGATAGAACAAGCTGACCCAACTTGGTTTGTGGGATTTTGTTTTGACTCTACATGTAGATCCCTACAAAATCAGCCCCCTTAGAGGGTACATTGCTGGTGAACCCATTTTTTTTTAAAAGTCGCCATCTTCATATTACCCAGGAGTACAATGCACAAACTAAATAATTCTAGTGGGCTATTAATCAGTAGGCTTCTACCTTAATTCACGGGAACTATCTGATTTGCTGCTTTTTCTAGTAAGATTTTTTCACAAGTTTTTTATTGTTCAAAGTTGTAGTTCAAAGCTGTAGCGTAGTGTATAGTATAATATAGTATTTACTTATTTTTTTGTGTTACTTGTTCAAACTTTATTATACTTAAATAAATTTATTTACTGTTTATGCATTGTTGTCTTCTATTGCCCAAGCATACTCACAGACTGCTGCGTGGAGTGTCTTATCTGTTATTAACTACCAATTGTATGTAATTACTGCATAATTTGTGATGTTTCATCTAATTTGGTTCAATAGCTGATAAATTGGCATCTTGATTTTGCAAAAACAAAGTAGTAGACAATGGGAATCAATTGAACTGCTAGAGAGAGTATTGATAAAAATTTATTTGAAAATTGTTTAGCGCAATCTAGAAGTCAAATCTCATGAAAACTTAATATTCTTTTTTGATTGATTTTGGAACTATCCAATTTTGTATAATGCCATGATTTTGTCGCCAAAATATAACTTGAAAGTTCAGCTAATATTACGTTAACGATGTATTAGAAGTATATCTATACATAGTTCCATGAGCCATGTCTTGAAAATATAATCTGTTGGAGTTTCTAACTTTTACAATAAAAATATCAAACTGTCAAACTATTTTATGACTTTATTATAATTTGCATATGTAATAAAAACTGTCACATGACTAAATCATGAAATTTTTCTCTACATTCATGCACCATAAATCACTGAAATTTTAAAGCTGTGAATAACAGGAGTGAATATGCATTGTATATTTGATGACGCTTGCAGCACACGGTTCAGTCTCAGAATCTTTCACAAGGGAGGGTGGGATGTGCTGCATGTCAGTGGTGAGGGTGAGGTTGATAATGACAATCACACCATTTCATACGATAAATAATGCAAAGATTTAAAATACTAATGAGAATAAGTGTGCATTTTAATTATTACAAAGCAAAGTGCACCAACCACGTACAGAATTGACACCCATGCACGATGCAATTTTAAATGTGATCAGTACCCAGTAAAGTGTGTCTGGTTGTGATAATTATACATTTTCATTTTATAGGAATAGCATAACTGTAATACATCAGGGTATCACATAACGGATGAATAATATGGTGTTCATTACAAATTCAAATGAAATAGACGGTGATTATGACAATTTCAACTTTCACAAAAGCGAAAAACGCGTCCTGTATACAACAACAAAAATGTCATCATAGACCCTACAGTAGGTATTGTATAATGTTTCATCGTCAGTGATGGTCGTGTGGTATTACTCTGCATTGTGGTACATCATCACTGCCCAACGAAACAGCAAGCTCAACAAAATGAAACTAATTTCTGTATACACTGAAATTTACATGCATTTCTTGTGACAAGATTTTTGGGTGCAGTCATTGTAGAGGGTTAACATCGCTTGGACATCAGTCTTTAATCCCGATGTTGTAAACCTGCATAAAAATACATTACGTATGCATTACACGTTACGAAAATCAATTTGTTTTCAGTGTGGCGTGATATTTGTGTACGACATCAAATAGGCCATTTTGGTTCATCCTCGTTCGCAGCCAGCCTTGCAGTAATCATTAAAATCGTTCTATCACACCTCACTGCTTGGTATACAACGTGTCATCATGTAGTCATTTGGTTAATGACTCATATAATTAACTTAGAACGAGTCGTGATATACTCGGGTAACGAGAACCAGCAAATAGTCTATTGTTGGTAGTGACCCAAAAATAGAGCCGTCCATCATGCTGTTGAAAAAATTATATGAGTGAATCTGGTTGCATTTTTAGTATTTCAATTCGATATTGTGTAATGATTTACCATTCAGACTGCTTTCGTCTGAACGCAGAATGAAATACATTTTATGAAACGGGAACGCATATGCAATTTGGAGTAACAGAACGTCCATGTAATTCGAGGCATGTGTGCGGGGATCAGAATTTCAACGGATATTTTTAGTTGATCATCGACTTCCAATATCAAACGTAATAAAAACGTAATATAATATTACATAGCTAAACAGTAGCTAGTAGGTATCTGCTGAATTAGGACTTTCTGAACAAGGCTCGGGTAACGTACCTTTCGAACTGGCATTCTTTTTGTTTTCGTGTAATCTTTAAACCTACTGTAATTCCAGCCAATTTCTCCAACCCGTTCGTGCCGCGGGGACAGATGGGTACTGCTTCCAGTGGGCCCTCTGCAGATATACCGCAATTCGCTGGTTTTCTCTTTGGAGGCGTCTCCGATACCCAGAAAGACGTTGTGGTCGATGATATGACTTATTTTATGTTGGCCAATACCACAGGGACCTGTGGAAGCGATGCAGGCGTGGATGTTATTATAGGGTCGGCAAGGGGTATTTTCGTAAACTGTAATCAATCGTTTTTATTTTCGTAATAATGTAATTTAAATAAATAGAAAACGTAAATTCGTAGACATAGGCAAGATGTAAAATGTAATCAGCTATTTTATTCCTCCGTATTTTGTACAAAGATCTGATTTTTTTGTAAGCATATAAAGCATTTTCTACATTAAATGTCGTAATTCCTATGCAATTTTCAATTTTGATTCTTAAAGGGGCACCTTCCAGTTAAGCCTAATCTCACAACAAATTTACTTTCTGGATTAAAATAACAATGGATAACAAAAGGTAGATTAACATTGTAAACAACATAAACAATAGTGTCCCATGATTCTTTGGTGCAATCCATGGGATTGAGCGGTTCCCCTTTAAACACAAATTATCGAATATATTATAAAAATGTAATTAGGAATTTGCTTTATCTGTAAAGTGTAAAAACCTATTTTTTACTGTAAATTGAACTTTCATTTTATTTCCTGTAAAAACTTAAACTTTCCTGTAACCTGTACCAGCTACCCCCCCCCCCTTGCCCTCTTATACAGACATCGCAAGTTGCCCAAAGTATATTATGTTTATACAAATACGTCACCATTGTCTAGCCCCGTCTCCATGACGTTGTGAGTGTCGGTGATATTTGCATTCGTACAACCGATGACCGAATGTAAATGTCACTAACTCTAACTACAACGTCATGAACACCACCACCCCCCAAAATAAGCCCTAATGCCTGTGAAAATACTCAATCAGTTAGTAGCATTCGCACAACATAATGGATGGCGCCATCAGACAACGAGGCATTTATTGTTCATTTCATGATGTATAGTAAACGGTAGAAAATTCACCTTATTTGTTTTTTTTTAGTAACCACGGTTGGTATACAGCTAATTTGTGTCAAACCATGTGTACATGAAAGTCCGTCTACTCATTTTTAGGTGAACGCCCTCAGCGGCCACCTGTTGATTCATCGACAAGTTAACACGTTTTAAAGGGCGGTGGTACATGATCGTCGCTACGCGTCCTGTGCAATATGAGACTCATAGCGACGTACACAACGCGTGTAAAATACATTTTGTTGTTTATATGAAATTCGAAAACGCACTGTGCGACGACCTTTAAAACTCAAATGGCAATTCTGCCAAATAGTTGAGAATGTTCGACCCGATCGGTTATCGTTTGACTTAAAGATGCCTTAGGAGTGTATGACTTGACAAGTCGTTTGATATATAACCCTTGACCCCGGATTAACCCGTTAGTGTACATCGATAAACAATTCACTCAATATGTCTATAACTTTTGGACCCACTTGTCGATATCGGTGTCTGTATGAATCAGAGCAAAACACGTAGTGGGTGGATTCAGTGAAATATCTCCCGTACATAGTGTACCCAAGCAAATTTTAATTTAGCGCCAGATTAATCAAATGGTTTGATTGTAAAATTGTATGATTGTGCAATTTAGGGTCACTCGTCGAGTCATATTTTTTCAAAAATAAGATTGGGAGGGAAATATTATATATCGCAATATTATTATTCTACTGGCATTAATTTTTGTGAAAACGACCAATCGGCATGTCAGTACAAAAAACTCACATCACATGAAAACCACGGAGAAACGCTTTTGTATTTTTATTCATTACGTTAGTGTATTGCAGATATCAGAGTAGTATTAAATTTGTATGCATTCGTTTCACAACACTATATTGAAGCTCACCGGTCTTTTTGAAGTTTAGGCTACACGGATGTTAATTCATATTTTTGTAATTCAAAATGGCCGTCATTTATGCTTTTACGATTTCGGATGCAGTTTTCATATAAAAGGAGTTCAATGGCCCATTCGTAATTTTCAGCATTTTTTCATTGACACGACAAATAATACTTTGTCAAAAATGGGTTCGTCATAAATTGGCTCTTTTAATTGTAATTTGCTTGAATTTACGGCGTTATAAGATGATACCGAAAACAACCTCCAAGTCAACCTCCAGTCACCGGTTCACACAGCGGTGGCCACGTCTGGCAGCGGTTTGTACAGGTGCATTCCACGCTATTTGAGCACAGGGTTGGCTGGCGGATATTCACGGCTAGCACAATGACGGAGAGGGAAGTGTCATCATTCAATTACGGTGACAAATATTCTTAATTTAAGATTGATATAAATTGGGATATATATGGAAACTTGTTCCGACGATAATATGCGACGTTTACTGTATTCGTGTAGCCCCCCTCATACAGCCAGCCAAAGAACACATCGTCACATCGATATACCGAAGCATATCGGAACACAAAACAACGATTATGTTACCTGCGTGGTTGCCATGACAGTATATAAAGAAACCAAGTAAATGCTGGATATATTTGTAAAAACATATTTTCGTGAGTGACGGCTCTGCATTTAATTTGGACCACGGAGATTATCCGGTTAAACACCGCACGACGAGTTTTTTTAATTTAGCGAAAAATAAGCATTGTTAATATGTAAATGATATTCTTTAGGTTAATCTATGTGTCAACAACACTCGTGAAATTGACTCCGACAAGGTTACAACAAAAATGTAACACTTTAAACCGGCGCCGATTGTCACGCAGCCTTTACGATCCTAGATAAATAAGGTGAATTGTGGAAATTGTTTTCTTAACTTTCAAAGATAAAATGACGTATTTTGTAGCATTTCTTGTAGCACTGGGATACACTAATTTTTTTATAACATACAAAGGTAAATTCATCAACAAAAACAAGCCTCATGAATGGGATATTCTTAACGAAAACCCGGCGTTATCTTTAGCTAAAAACAAATTGTGTCTAGAATGGATTTAAGGAGTATTTCCGTAGGTTCTTACGAATATAAGCAAATTTAAATAGTAAAGTGAATAAAACCACATTCGCGATTTCGTGAAGATTAATACATTGTGAACACCATAATAGAAATAAGTATGTATATATTACAACCGAGCTCTAGCTCCATGAACCGAGTAACTATAGCCAAATATCACAGTGCAACAGAACACGCTGTGTACGCGATTATCAACGCTGCACTGGTACACCATTCACTGCCGCCATTAACTCAACATTGCATTATCATAGAAATATTATCGTAGAAAAATAAGATGCTTTAAACCATGGTCTATCTGATCACCGCTATGAACCAGTGTCCATCATGCCACCATTATGGCTGGGCCATGTTCTAATTAATAATGTAAAATCGATCCAGACGACGTTGGTCATTTGTGTTTCCTTTTACTGTTTACACTACTCGCGTTACGGTATACAGTGGCCACAATCCAGGCACAAAATCGACGCAACCATGGATACTGGCGTTACGTTATCCCGATTTAAAGCTCAACCAGCGATTGATTTACCCTTAGTTTAGAATAACTGCCAGCAACATGACAACGATTTTTTAATCTTGTACAAGATTAACCTTTGTGTACATACAACATCAGCCAAGAGTAACATTTTTCCACTAGTTTTTGTCCCGAGGATAAGCAATGCATGGTGCCTCAATGTATGTTTATATGCAGTATAATTATTTGTCTAGAATGCGTTAGAAATCAAACAGTGGGCTGGAGTCATAATTTGTTCAAATTATCAAAAAATATCCCTGGTTAAATAAAATCGACAATATGGTTTTCATATCGAATAACGTTTTTAACGTTTTTAACTCAAATTCACGCTATAATAAACCTAACTAACTATTATTAAAATTGGTTATATTGCAAAATATCTAATAGCGAACGACAGCAACACGGTACCTTGGAAGATCGGAGTAAACTTCAAAGTGACTTTACAAAGTTTAACCACAGCGGTTTAACCATAGAATCTAAATAAGACGGTCCATGGTTAACGTGGCTGTTATGTGTCCTTACCTGAAAATAATTTTATATCTCTTGTCGCATCTAGTTCAACCGGTAACCGAGATTCGGCCACTGGGGCAGCAACATGACTAACATGGGAATATCCCGAAGTCGCTCTAGACTGGGTAGGTGTTGTGTACGCGGACATGTCGTAGGGGGTTACACTGTACTGGTCGATGCTATATTTCCCTCGTAACTTTAGACGCGAAGTGGTCTTCGTACAATTGAAGGACTACTGCGATTTAATCGTTCTTTAGAGTCGCCTATGTGAGCATTAAAGTTTTACGGTGCCCATTTACTGTGACATAGAATTCGATACAAATGACTCACAGGGTAAAACAATAATTGGTGCTACGCAGGCGTGAATAACATGCACCGGTACGACAAAGTAGCGGTAGACGTACTGGGTCTGAAAAGTAAATACCGACATGAAAGAGTAACTAACGATACAATTGCGGATTTTGCACGGTGCTGTGTCTGAATAAATCCCATGTGATAACACTGTGCAGTTGTGAGTCTGATTAACCTCGGTATTTGCATATCTTCAGGTTGGACGAACCGTGAATTTTATTGGTTGTTCGCCGCAGACGCCATATTGTAAAAAGCTCGCCTAAATAGTTCGACATGCGCAACGTATTAACATTATTTTTACGCCGTTGGTCATTCTCAATGGCAACGGAAACAGGCGTCAATTTGGCTGAACTGTCGATTTATTTATAGAAAGTTCATCAGGACGGATATAAGGCACAACATAAAGTAGTAGTTTACGAGGTTATATGTATTATTAATTTAACGTTAAGTTACATTAAGATTTTCAAAGAGGGTGTTAATACATACTCTTTCTCACAGTAAAAGTATAACACTGGGCTGAACGCAGTCTAAAAGGAAAATGCTAAACAATAAATTTGAATGGGAGAAATACAAACCCTGGACACACATAGCCTTATCTGTATTTTTTTCTAATGATTAATCTTTTCTAGTTTCTAGACTTAAGCCAAAATGGCGGGTAGCTATATGTATTACCAAAAAGTTGACCTGTGAATTGTTCAATTGTCTACTGTTTTTTTTATCATGTAATATGTATATCGCCACGTAACAAATGTCTGGTTTAATGTTACACATAGTTTTATAAATAATTATCAAGCCGTAGATCTGGAACTCTTCAACCTATTAATTAATTAATATATTATGGTAGATGGTTTGTGTGTTTGTTTGTTCGAATCATTCAGAAATGCTTGATTTTTTTCCTTGACATTAAATCTTGATGTACATACACTGAAGTTGAAATAAAAAAAAATATTTCGGACGCTTAAAATGCATTCGATAGACAAAGTCACGAACTATGTAAATGCGCATGCGTATTGAAAAGCTGGTACGTACTAATGGGTACGTACAGTCTACGCATTCGGCGCGAGGGATGGTGAGCAGATCTCGACCCCTCCATGCAAAATTTCGTGTCGCCGTCTCTGATACATTATACTGGCTTATTATATTAAGCGCAAATTCTGATAGGTAGACGCTTGTTTGCAAATAACGACACACTTTGGCCGCACGCAGGGGACGATTGGCGCTTTAATGATAGCAGGATGATCACCTACAACGATACAATGATGTAATGATGTAGCATGGTAGATTCTATCTCATTGCCGTTCGCTGTGATGAATAATTACAAATGGTTGTCATGACAACACTACACGTATGTACGTTTTTCTTGATACGTTAAATAGAGAGGCCCGCGTTGAGTCTCCTCGTCATAGTTATAGTATCGCCGTCCACGAAAGCGCGCGCAATTGAACTTACTATTTAGTTGTTGCCAGGCTACGACAGTTTACACATACACTCTAAGGTATAATAATATGAATCCGATGACAATAAATAGTGCAGCGACAGGTGTCTGATTTTAACAGTTCGCCTAGTATATAACCCTTGACCCGGGATTAACCTGTGAGCACTGTTAACAACAGGACTTCTGTGTTAAAAGGGTTGTTTCTTTCCGACAAGATTAGAAATATAGCTCCCCTGTACGGCGATCACATGGGTGATGTGAAAGACATATCACTATGCCCAAGCTATACTGTTTACGCAACAAAGGCATTCCCTTTATCTTTATACGGCTTTATAAGTCTGTCACTGTAGGGGTATACGTGCCCGGGAAACACTCACATGTGACTTGTGATAACTCGTCATATTTTTGAGTTGGGCCAGGCGCGCATCTGAAAAGAAAATCATGGGTAGGCATGGCTCCTTCTTAGCAAAAAAAACTTGGTCAGTGTTTCATCTTTGATGTTAAGTGATCTGCATGAAAGTTGTATGACAATTAATACGAACAAATAAATAAAGATTCTAAGACAATTTATGAGAGCAAATAAATTTGACGTGAGCAAACGCAAACAGGATATTTTAATGTATATATTGTCCTACAACTGAGCAATATGATTGGTCGAGAAGCATTGGGCGGGTTTTAATTTGTGTTATTGCATCTCATGTTGTAGATCCTCCCATCCTCCAGTTGATTACTTCATGGTTTGTATTTTGCCAAAACAACTCTTTTCTTTTCATTTAATATATTCGTATAGGTACAACCTGTGTACTAAACAAAAATGTTAAATTTGTCATACTGCATTAATATTTCACATTTATTCAGTTGATGAATATATTTTGATTTATCGTGTTTTAGTATTATTTGTTGTCGAAAAAATAAATACTCAAGATATATAATGTAACAATGCTTGAACGCAACCAGTATAGGAGAATAATCACCACAACAAAATAAATTGCTGTTGCAAAGGACGCTGGGTGACGGAGCATGTGCGGCACGTAGCGCTCAGCGCAAATGACGACATGCGTACTCACCATGCTCGTGCCAAGGCAATATAAGAACATTGACTTAAAAAGTTAGGGGGTCACCATCCTAATTTTCGAGTAAATAGCGGTTCTATTTTGGTGGATAGTGGCCAGTTTATTATTATTATATAGTATTATAATATTATAACGCTATTATACGTCACTGTAACATACAAAAGAATGGAATTTCATGGTCCTATGGGACAATAGCTCCGTGATTGTAAGTAATAAACCTTTGAACACTGTCATGAAATTTATGACCAAGTTATGAGTAGGCTTCTTAAAGGGCAGTGGTCGTCGCACATCGCATGTTCAAATTTCATGTATTGCTAAACAAACAATGTATTTTACACTCGGACACGGAGTGACGATCACTGCCCTTTAACGATGGAGCTGGACTATGCAACTAGGAAACTAGAACACTCCGAGGCCTCACTACGTCATGCATGACTGGACGTTGTTTAACACAGTCTCTCACAAGGTAATGTTATTGGTATTGGGATTATTGGTACTGCACGATGTTGCAATTCAATAGTGAACAATAAATTAATTATGGTGTATTAGTCCCATTACAGCGCTGTTCGACTGAATGTTTGATGACGTTTGGATTATTTGAATTGTTTTTTTTAGAAACCAATGAAACGATATTATGACAAACGGTGCATTCATTGCAAAATTTTGAAAGGCAATTTTTCAAATTTAGTCTCAATGGGTGCAAAAAAGTCAAATTGGATGTTAGAATTCCGTATCATGACATCAACGTTGGTTCTTTTTAATATTAATGAGATAGTTCAAAATTATCCAATCAGCAATCGCCATGTTTTGAATACTGCAACCACGGTCCCTCTATATAGAGAGACTGTGCTGCAACGTACTTTATTTTCACTTGGAATTTATTTTCGCTATTATCGTCGAAGGAGTAAATCAGTTAGAATAAAATCCAGTGAAAATATCTTTTTCTTGTATTTTACATTCAACTCATCAAAAATCAATGAATTTCAAAATGTCTTTTCAGTGAAAATTGATTCCAGCTAAAATAAAGTATGTTACAGCATAGGTTAGGTGAAGGCGTGAGCGCGCGTTATATATTATTTGTATGTTGTACTACTGGTATAGCACCAGTAACGCTTAGCGTTAAATCCCAGGGCAAATACAATCCATTTAGTCGGACTTCAAAAAAAAAAAAAAACTGGTACACTTGACAACATTGTTTGGACACTGTAATATGGAAGTATCAAAGTACAAATCCAGTTTTGTGCCTTTACTGATTTCGAAAAAAGCCCTCGGTAGGATTGCCCACAGTGCGATGTTCTATAAACTCCCGATATAAATACGAATAGCAAAGTTTTAGAAGTTATACAATCAATGTTAATTAATGTTATAGGTAATATATACTGGAAACGAACGAAAGGGTGTGTAGGAAAGCTAACGTTACCTTATTTGCGTTATGTCGAAAATTTATTTATTTTTAGTAGATATGTGATCGGGTTGCGAAACAGTTGGATAAATTACGTGTTAACGTTAAAAATATCTCGGGTCTTGCCACTAAAAATAAACTTTCCTTAAAGTTGAGGTGGAAATTACACTCAAACTTTTAGGTCAAAAACAGATGTCGTAAAAGATGTACAAAATCGACCTGAAAGCCCAGAAGAACTCCCCCGAGTGTTCCTACGTTAGTTCGTGGATATTCTTCCGGATAATTACCGCAATAGTGCGATGTAACGATTGTGGTTTAAGGTAGAAGCCTACTCATAAATTTAAAAACCCAGAATTTATTCATTTTGCAATAAAATGTACTCCAAGGTAATATAAGGATATTGACCTAAAAAAAGTTGGGGGTCACCAGCCTTTTTTTCGAGAAATTGATGGTTGTATTTTATTGGAAAGTCGCCATTTTGACACTATTATAACACCTTTACCACATGTTCCTATGGCAGAGATATTATGCAAAATCTCAAAATCTAGCCTGGTGATATGGGCTGAAAAAATCATATATTGTTAATGATGGAGTACTTTTTGTTGTTCTGAATTATTTAAAAAGTGTCAAAAAATTCAATTTTTCTTTAACATTGTGTTCTATGGAATTGTTCTAAAAATAGCAATTTTCAAGAAATATTAGGACACGTTTCTCAAAAAGCATAACTGTAACACACAAAATAATGCTATTTCATTATACCATGAGACATTACTTCATAATTGTACATAATAAGGTAATGAACTTTGTCATGCGATTTATAACCAATTTTGTCAAAAATTATGAGTAGGCTTCTACCTTAACTTGGAATACTTGCCTATGAGAAGTGTGTCATTTTGAGTATTTCATACTTAAGTATAGCAACATATATTATCAGTTGAGAAGAACTTTAGTTTTGTTTTTCGGTCCTCTATACAAGTATATGTATGATCAAGACATATGTCTGATTGTAAAACTAATAATCCGGCTGTTAAACCACATATGTGTGAGTGTCTCGTTATAATGAAATGGCAACTGGTTATAACGAATTAGTATCATTATTATCATTTAGTATTTCGTTATAACGGGTTATATTTTTAGCGCGTGTCAGTATCTCGTTTTAACAAAATAGTATCGTTATAATGATTGGCGTCTCTATCGTTAGTACGTGTTAGTGCTAAATCTAGTTAGTAAAATTCGTTTGAAAAAAATACTGACGATTGAAGAAGTCCAGTCTAAACACAAAAACAATTTCATTTTCACTTAATTAAGAATTCATAAAAAAAATTATTCTGAATGTCCGTTTCACGCAGCACCCCGGCATTTTATTCACATTAAGATTTTTCTTTCTTCGACATTGAGGGCGTAAACAGCATATTTTCAGTAGATTTTCGGGCCAACGAACAGCAATATCTCCATTCTCGTACTTTCTTCCTTTTAACGACGAGGGCGTTAACAACTTAACATATATAATAAACCAGCGAACGTACAATTCTAAAATAGTACCACCACAACATCATCATCAGAAATAATTTTAGTTTAATATTAATATCTGTTTAAGGCAGCAAACAACCATTTTATTTACTTTTGCACTGTCTGTTTGTCAACGCTGAGGGCGTAATCACCCTGAAATATTCAAAAAATAAACCAAAATACACACGCATATATATATACAGCTTTAATTTATTTTGAATTCAATGGTAATTTTTTAAAATTTGTACAATTTGCTACAAAGTCGGGACAGTCAACGAATGATTTGATGCAACTAGATTAAATGTTGTAATATTTTGGGATATGTTTTAGAGTTCCATGTCCACTGATTTAATACCAAATAATTTAATCTGTTTACGCTCTCGTCCCCGTCTTATTACAACACGTGTGTGTATGTGTACATACGTAACCCTTCAAGTATTATTTGTTTGCAAAAATCAACTCACGCATGCATGTATATGCAACCCAAAGACAGATGGACAGACGATATCCCACTTCAAGTCTCTTATTATCTGATCATAATGATTTAGAATCTTGTTATTACGAGTTTGTATCTGATCATAATGATTTAGTGTCTCGTTATTACGAGTTTGTATCTGATCGAAATGATTTAGAATCTCGTTATTACCAGTTTGTATCTGATCACAATGATTTAGTATCTCGTTATTACGAGTTTGTATCTGATCATAATGATTTAGAATCACATTATTACGTGTTAGTATCTGATCATATTGATTTAGAATCTCGTTATTACTAGTTTGCATCTGTTCTTAATGATTTAATATCTCGTTATTACGAGTTAGTATCTGATCATAATGATTTAGAATATCGTTATTACGAGTTGTATCTGATCATAATAATTTAGAATATTGTTATTAGGAGTTTGTATCTTGTTATAATGATTTAGAATCTCGTTATTGCGAGTTAGTATCTGATAGCAATGATTTGGTATCTCGTTATTACGAGTTTGTATCTGATCATTATGATTTAGTATCTCGTTATTACTAGTTTGTATCTTGTTATAAAGATTTCGAAGCTCGTTATTACGAGTTACTATCTGATCATAATGATTTAGAATCTCGTTACTACGAGTTTGTATCTGATCATAATGATTTAGTAGTTTGTTATTACGAGTTTGTATCTGGTTATAATGATTTAGAATCTCGTTATTACGAGTTAGTATCTGATCATAATGATTTGGAATCTTGTTCTTACGAGTTTGTATCTGATCATAGTGATTTAGTATCGCATTATTACAAGTTAGTATCTGATCATAATGATTTAGAATCTCGTTATCACGAGTTAGTATCTGATCATAATGATTTAGAATCTTGTTATTACGAGTTTGTATCTGGTTATAATGATTTCGAATCTCGTTATTGCGAGTTAGTATCTGATCATAATGATTTAGAATCTTATTACGAGTTTGTATCTGATCATAATGGTTTAATATCGCACTATTACAAGTTAGTATCTGATCATGATTTAGAATCTCGTTATTACGAGTTAGTATCTGATCATAATTCTTTAGTATCTTGTTATTACGAGTTAGTATCTGATCTTAATGATTTAGTATCTCCTTATTACGAGTTTGTATCTGATCTTAATGATATAGTATCTTGTTATTACGAGTTAGTATCTGATCTTAATGATTTAGTAACTCGTTATTATCTTATCTTAATGATTTAACTTCTTGCTATTACGAGTTAGTATCTGACCATAATGATTTAGAATCTTGTTATTACGAGTTTTTATCTTGTTATAATGATTTAGAATTTCGTTATTACGTGTTAGTATCTGATCACAATCATTTAGAATCTCGTTATTACGAGTTAATATCTGATCTTAATGATTTAGTATCTCGTTATTATGAGTTAGTATCTTATCTTAATGATTAAGAATCTCGTTATTACGAGTTAGTGTCTGATCTTAATGATTTAGTATCTCGTTATTACGTGTTAGTATCTGATCATAATGATTAAGAATCTCGTCATTACGAGTTAGTATCTGATATTAATGATTTAGTATCTCGTTATTACGAGTTACTATCTGATCATTACGAGTTTGTATCTGATTTTAATGATTTAATATCTCGTTATTACGAGTTAGTATCTGATCATAATGATTTATTATCTCGTTATTACAAGTTAGTATCTGACCATAATGATTTAGAATCATGTTATTACGAGTTAGTATCTGATCACAATGATTTAGAATCTCGTTATTACTAGTTAGTATCTCGGAACCAGCAAAAAGTAAATTTCCGTAAAACCAAAATGTTTTGTTCATATTAATAAATATTACAATATTTACGATTGCTTAACGAAACTAGTTACCCGTCACGGGAAATACTCTCAGCGCAACAAAGAAAATTTTGTTTATCTTTATAAATGTTAATAAATTTCACAACTAAAACTGAAACAATGAGTTTCAATTGGTCGAACTTTTTGGCTGAACAATTTCAAATGACGTAGACGTAGCTCACTGTGCTTGTTGATTGGCTGATTAGATTCAACTCCCTTTGAAATTTATAAATATTTATAAAGATGAGGGGAATGTCTTCGTTGTGCTGAGGGTATTATTTTAGTGTTCATCGTTTATTAAATACTGACGATTTTTTTTTTTTTGTTTAGTGATTGAACCTGCAATCTGGACCTTTGCAAAATCTGAATTGAATTTTCATCCTATAATTTTTCAAATACAATTAAAAAGTATTGACCAATAGGAAATCTAGGGTGGGAGAAAGTATATATTTTTTTTTCATTTAGACTCTCTACAATATATCACCGAAATCAAGGCATCAAAGTAGGACATATCCAGTTTAGTTTCAGGCAAATAGAATTCTTAACAGAATGTACCTTTCTTCTAGCCTCTATATCGATCAACCACCATCCCCTGATGCATGTCCACATGTAGATCCAAATTACGTGGTTCATAACAGCTATTATCCAGTAATATGAATTTCCATTGCTGCATTCATGATGTGAAATTTATTCATGACAGGAAGGTAAAATAAAGACGAAAGACAACCAAATGTGATGGCAGTAACTATAGGTGGCGCACTTTATTGTATACCTTTAAAAAGATTTCCACAGCATGGCAGGAAATCTACATAAACCACACTACGTTTCCCAAGGAAAACAGAAACATTGGCAGTGAAATTTGTTACCTTTGTAACTTAAATATAATATCTACAAAAATAAAAGTTCTATCTAAAAAGGAAAACAGAAAAACAAAAAGAATATTCCAGTTGACGCTACAAGTAAAATGTACTACTATGCTAATCTGGTATTTCACACCTAGAAAGACGATGTAATCTGTTGCATGCTGATACATGCACTACTCTGAGGAAGATAAGGTGGGTATCTAATGCCACTAAAGATGAATAAAGTCCACCACATTACAGTGCAACAAGAAAAAATTCATGCGATATCACCACAGTTAAGTAGAGTTGCGCCACACAGATAATATGTCTTTGTACAAATCAAAGTGACAAGGGAAAAAAAAAAAGAGATGACTTTACAAGTGGATTTGTAATTTACAGCATCAACTGTTTTTCACTCTCTGAGCAAAATTGGAGGCGCTGTATACTTTTTTTTTTTTGTTATATACATAGGTGGACTGATATAAATGCACTACTGATAACACAGCTTGACAACATTACACAGCATGTATATGCTAATTAGGTGGTTCAGATAAAATACACAGTCCCTGTCCTCGCCTCATACCTTGCTCCATAACACTTTTACATTGCCTTCAATGTGGCATAGATTTTCAACAACAACAAAAAAGTGAATACATGACAGTAATTTACAGGACATAATTTCCAAAACCTTAAGTTTTTTTTTTTCTTAAAAAATATTACAGTGAAGAAACAGAGAGATTGTCTAAAATTGAAATTGCTAGTTTTGATTCCTGAGAATTTCTAGGTAAATGATTGTTCTACTTTAAGATGCAGAAGCATAGGGGTTTCTTTCAGTATGCCTAGGGGAGTAGGTGATAGTAATCCCACAGTATGATTGGTTAACAGGCTGAAAGAACCCCCTAGGATTAATGGAATTATTAGTAATTACAGGTTGTTGCAAACAATATTAATTTTCTACTTTCACACAATAGCTCAATCCTCACACCTGTTACTGGTGAATAATAAACAATCAAATGTTGTTTCCAAATTAAATTCAAATGGAATGGAGACTCAGCAGTGGAATACTAAATATTTCCATTTTATTGTTGACTTTATTTTATTGATGTCAAAATGATTTTTTTTATCTTTCTCCATTTTTTAATCAGATGACTTGTGAACCCTTTGAGTGCCATTTCAATACATTATGGTTGCTTCAGTTTCATGTATTTTTCTAAATTTCTTCCTTAATTCTGAACTCAATAGACATAATTTCTCACTGACTGCAGATCTTAAGCAAACGTTTTTTAAAAAAATTACGTAGTTTGAACTGTGAAAGGTCACTGTGAAAGTTTGACTTAGCTGCTCAAAGGGTTAGAGATATGAAAAATGCTTTTATACTTGCAGTAGGTTGGTCTGAGGATGAGCTTACTATCATCCTACGAAATTGCAGTAACTAACAGCATACACACATAGCTTAAATGCAGTTTCATGAGCACCACAACCACCAAAAAGAGTAAAACATGCCATCTCACAACAAAACCTAGTGTACTGGTAGCTACATTAGAATGTTTTTTTAAAAGACGTACAGACTCAAGTACATTTCAGGATAAAAAAAAAAATATCATTTGTTAAATTTCTTATTTTCGATGCATTAGAGAGTTGTTCAGTATGCAATTATCATAGTAATGCATCTGTATTATAATAATTTGAAAAATACAACAACACTACAAAGAACCCCAAAACAAGAAACTCAACAACATGACATCGCAGGAAAAACACTACCCATACAAGCCAAGGACATTGATTAAATAAATCATGTGTACAGACTATGTTTGGCACCTATGTTTCGATAAGGATTGTACAATTTTAATAATTTCAGAATCAAACATATCTAGAAAAATAAAAAAAATCTCAATTTTGTAGACCTAGCTACAAAAAAAAATGTACAGTGTTGTCTACAATAGATTGACTCCTTGACCAGTATTCAAAATTAGTATCAGTTTTTGTTTCACCCCCCTCTTCATTCAATTAAAATTCTGTTTCATAGAATTCAAACTGATGAAGCTGATCTTATGTAATGAAATAATGAATTCATCAGATGATCAGTTTTTTAAATGCTTCACCACAATAACCTGAATCCTCATTGATTGGTCGTTGAATAAAAGCTTGTGATTGGATGAATTAATCATGTGATACAATCATCACAGTAATCTGAATTCTCATTGGCTTGTGGTTGAAATAGAATCTTGTGATTGGTTGAATTAGTCATGTGATACAATCATCACCAGTGCGATCTAGCTGAAACGGAAGACTGGAGAAATATTGGTGTATTTCTAGACAAAAATTATAAATTTGTACTGGCTTTTTTCTGGCAGTATTGAATTGCAGGGGCTTAAGTAACCATTGCGGTTTACTTCATTTAAAAAAAAAAAAGATACGATTCAGCTACACCACACCACAAGTGGCTAACCACCATTCACTTCCATAATCGAGACCAATTTAGCGGTGTCAAAATTGAATTGGGGAAAAAAAGGGGGCCACAAATTCGGGTGCTGCTTTTTTTAGTGTACTATACAAACCAGTTCAAACCAGTTATTCATAGCAAATTATCCAAAGCAATACATTTACCCATCCACCTAAATACAAATTTTAAATTAAGAAACAAATATCATTAAAAAACTGGTAGTGAGTGGTGGTGATAACTGGTCTCAAGGTTTAAAATTAAAATATATTAAGTCTCTTAACACAGTAATCTGGGAAGAACTTTAAATTTTTTGTGTAAATTCACAAAAAATCAATAATTTTAAAATTTGGAACATTAGCATGCACATAAGTATTTTGTGCACTCAACTGTCCTCTTGATTGTCAGAGTTTAAATTAAAAAATATATGAAATAACAACAAACACAACATCCAAGCTCAACAAACAAAGAGCCATGGCAGTAATAAACAATTAAATGTTGACGTCTCTAAACACAAAATCAAAACCATTTAATCAGAACAGTATTTGGCAGTTACTTTTTTTTTCCTCTTTTTTAAAAAAAAAATGTATATTTGAAATTTACTCTCTACTGAATAAAGACTTTGTTTATATGAAACTTAAAAGTTCCTAGAATTTTTTCTCTTCTAAATTGTTCTCAGATAATATATCTTTAATATGATAAAACTAAAAATAGTTGGCAGACTCGAGCATTTTTTTCCTTCTAAGTTTTGTTTATCTACACGAAAACGTGTTGTGCAGCATTTTAAAAATCGAAGAATACGATGCATTTTTCATTTTCTCTGATCATTGATTATGCAGTTAACAGAAGCCAGGCTTTTTTTTCACTCATGAACGACAGTTTCGCCAGATGACCCTACTTTACATAAAGTTTATGATTATGAAAAGGGATTATAATCTAATCCAGCTTGCTATATTGACCGCACATGGTATTATAGGATCATAAAATACAACAGAGGATATTTACTTAATTAATCAACACTCTTTCCTCACAGTTATAAACATGTAGTTAATAACATTACATAATTTCAGGATGAGCAGTTTGTTTAATTTTGACAGCAACAGATCCTTTGCATGTTTTTCAAAGACTGATTCCTAGATACGAGCAGCCATCTTGATGCCACTCATAAATGTTCCTTTCGCAAATATATAGAACAGCTGGAGGTGGAGCACTCGTCACAGGCAAACGTTTACTGTCATGTTTGGTGCCCCTTACAAGATTACAAACTTTCGATATCACATGTTATTGACAGACAAATGTCAAAATTAGATTTAACAATGCAAATTTCCTCTGTTGGATCCACAAAGCACAAACTATCATTACTTCAACACGCTCTTCTGTTTCATTGAATTGACGACCATGCCAACAATACTCTATTAAGTAATAAAGTAGTACATCATAGCAAATGATGAACTTAGTACGATGTGTTATCGTATTCACATCGCTGAACGGCGACTACAGATAATTGTTTTACAACTACAGTGATCTTGATCAATGTAGTTTCACGCCCTCTAGAGGTTGTCATGTGACCTCTAAACAGCTAATCTTTGCCTACTCTGCATCAGTAAAACGACAATAACATTAGATGTATTGCCCCCAAAGATAAGTAGCAAAATCAAGCAACATAATTGGAATATCAAGTTGCTATAAACGACAAGAAATACTATGTTTCTTTTTTTTTTTTGCTGTTTTTCTTCTATTGTTTCGTGGATGAGAGAACATTCGTCATCACTGAAACACGAGTCATGCCCATACAATTTCACATCTACATACATACATACATACATACATTATTCAACAATAAGGAAAGGACTTTTCCTTTAGTATTTCGTTTTGTTATTTTGGTCAGTTTTAACGTGTTAAAGAATTTGAAAAGAAATTGTTGTTTTAAAAAAAAAAGTAGTAATTTGTTATGTACTCATTAGGTTTAGTGAAATCTTTTTTCATGGCTATACAATCTAAAACTACGAGTGACACGTACGTGTCAGTTTGTACAATTAATTATTATTACCTACAGAGCATTCAATTATACACAATTTCTTATACAGGGTACTTGTCAACTTTACATATTACTTTCATACAGTGAGTCAACACCTACGTACAATATCAGTACAAATTTTGTTTCATTCTACAGCATTTTACAATTCTCATCTACAAGTTCTAGAGTTACTACTGTTACCTACAATACTATAGAAACTTGTTCTCTGTCATGAGGGTGAATCCCCCACCTTTCCACCAGTGTGTCACTAATCTTTATTATCCCGGTTCATCTCGATGTACTCCGGCGAACGCATATACGGATTTTCCATCAGTGGAGAGTTGGCCGTGGTCATTATGGCGCCAGGTTGGTCATTTAATGATGTAATGGCATGTTGAACAGCCAATCGTTGCGCTTCACTGGTGTAAAGAACATGTCGTACCTCTTGTCGTTTCGCTCTCATCAGTGCTTTGTACTCACTGATCCGCAGTTTCTTGCCATCGACAATACATGTACGTTTTGGTCGCGGTTTGTACTTATAATCAGGGTACTTCTCTAGGTGTGCCTTGCTTAGTCTTGCCTGCTCTTCATAGTATGGCTGCTTGTCAGCGTTAGACATTGCTTTCCATTTGGCACCTTTAAAAATAAATGAATAAAAAAATAAACTTTATTATTCTTCAGTGCTTTAAATTTATTAAAAACATATGCTCTAAAAGAAATCAATATTTAAACAAAAACTAAAGATTTTTGTTTATTCTATCTGTGCTAGTCGCATAGCAGTTAAAATTAGAAACATTGTCACCATACTGACTGTAAATTTGGAGTCAGGCTGCACCAGTAACGAATGAATTACGTTTTTTACATGTTGAGTTGGATGCTGATGGGCTCAAAAACTTCTGAGTGGTGGAAATTATATCTTGTTTGGTCAGAAAAGACAGACATTTAACACATTAATTGGGATAGCCACACAAGCTGGATTACCATTTTCAGTTAGTACATTCCCTTTACACATACCACATCATAAGAGATGCATGATTATGAATTAAATCAAAAAGACAACAACTCACCAAGTATTTTACTAATATTTGAATTGTGCATATCGGGATGCATGGACAGAATCTTCTTGCGTTCTTCCTTGGCCCACACCATGAATGCATTCATTGGTCTCTTGATGTGAGGCTCATTTGGTTGGTAACGACGTCCGTCACGGTACATGCGAGCTATGGTAGCAGAGTTAGGAGACACTGAAATGGTGCAAAGATACAAAAATAATTTAGGTATATTGTATATTAAGTTGAAAACAGATTTATTCTACTGAACCAAAAATACCTCCCGGGTCACATGAGTACAGTGTGTACTATACAGACCGGTTAATATAAATACATTTATATCAATTCACCGGTTTTTCATAACCAACAGACAGAGGAGAAAAGGTCTAGAAATGACCTTAATGATTCATATTTGACCTAATGATCCACTTTTGGGGACCACCCATCCCCACAGTTGACCTTTAAGCCCCACAAATCACTATTGATTTACATCTACATTTTACAGTGGTACTTACTTTGCTCTAGTTTATTTCGTTCTTCTTCGTCAGTCAAGTCAATCACCATCCTGCCATCCTTCATTCCCTATGTAAATAACAAACGTACATGCCAGTGAGAATGGATTGACAGCCAGTTAATTGGTAATAAGCTATCACAATAGACAGAGCCGTCTGGCATTGACTGTATGATATATGACAGGATTGTACGTTGCTCAGACAACATGGTTAGCAATTTAACTAGGTCCCAAGATGATTGAGTCAAACCATGGTATAAGACATGAATAAAGATCATTTCTCTGAATGTAAAACAGAGTCTTGAAACCAGACAAAGTAGCAGTTAATGATAGAGAAGTATGCATGTCTGACTTGGTGGTATACCGTAAAACATGTAACTAGAATTTAGTATAATCAACTGAATACAGGGTCATAGTATGTGTAAGACTAAGACTGGCCTAACATATGTATCAGTAATTCATTCCAACTACAGTGCACCTATAGCTATACATACACTGTAGTTGTAGAGAGACGTAAGAACTATCCGCACTGAAGCCACTCATTTCAACTACAGTGCACCTATAGCTATACGTACACTGTAGTCGTAGAGAGACGCAAGAACTATCTGCACTGAAGCCACTCATTTCAACTACAGTGCACTCCATAGCTATACATACACTGTAGTTGTAGAGAGACGTAAGCACTATCCGCACTCGAGCACTCATTTTAACTACAGTGCACCCTATAGCCATACGTACACTGTAGTCGTAGAGAGACGTAAGCACTATCCGCACTGAAGCCACTCATTTCAACTACAATGCACTCCATAGCCATACATACACTGTAGTCGTAGAGAGACGCAAGAACTATCTGCACTGAAGCCACTCATTTCAACTACAGTGCACTCCATAGCTATACATACACTGTAGTTGTAGAGAGACGTAAGCACTATCCGCACTCGAGCACTCATTTTAACTACAGTGCACCCTATAGCCATACGTACACTGTAGTCGTAGAGAGACGCAAGCACTATCCGCACTGAAGCCACTCATTTCAACTACAATGCACTCCATAGCCATACGTACACTGTAGTTGTAGAGAGACGTAAGCACTATCCGCACTGAAGCCACTCATTTCAACTACAATGCACTCCATAGCCATACGTACACTGTAGTCGTAGAGAGACGTAAGCACTATCCGCACTGAAGCCACTCATTTCAACTACAATGCACTCCATAGCCATACGTACACTGTAGTTGTAGAGAGACGTAAGCACTATCCGCACTGAAGCCACTCATTTTAACTACAGTGCACCTATAGTTATACGTACACTGTAGTCGTAGAGACGTAAGCACTATCCACACTTGAGCACTCATTTTAACTACAGTGCACTCCATAGCTATACATACACTGTAGTTGTAGAGAGACGTAAGCACTATCTGTACTCAAGCCACTCATTTCAACTACAGTGCACCT